AGCTGGGCAGGCCTGGCATGGCTGGGAGCTGGCTCCCTGCCTGTGGCTGAGTAACCCTTGTTCCCCCTAGTTTCTGGAGCAGAAGTACGGCTACTACCACTGCAAGGACTGCAACATCCGTTGGGAGAGCGCCTATGTGTGGTGTGTGCAGGGCACCAACAAGGTAGGCCTGGTGTCCCTGGGGTTGCCCCTCTGCCCCTGGGCTCTGACTGCCACTGACCCGCCTTCCCCCTTCCTCCAGGTCTACTTCAGGCAGTTCTGCCGGACATGTCAGAAATCCTATAACCCTTACCGCGTGGAGGACATCACCTGCCAGGTGAGCACCGCCCCCTCGGGCTAGCTAGTGCACTGGGGAGCCCTGTAACTTGACCTACCTCAGGGAGGTGGTTTGTGGGACCTTCACCCCCATTCCTTCTAGTAAGCCTGGGAACTCCAGCTGTGCTCTAGCACCACAAGTGTGTTGGGGCTTTGTCAGCAGCCTCACTCCTGCTCAGTGCAGGGAGGCTATAATCTAAACTACTGTAGCTAATGCTGCTCCGTCCCCTAAGCTTGCAGATCTTTCCCGCCTTGCCTGTATCACTGCAGTTCAAGTACTTTCTCCTCCAACATCCTTGCTTCTTTCTAGAGCTGTAAGCAGACCAGATGCACCTGCCCTGTGAAAGTGCGCCATGTGGACCCCAAGAGACCCCATCGTCAAGATCTCTGTGGTAGATGCAAAGGCAAACGTCTTTCCTGTGATAGTACATTTAGTTTCAAATATATTATTTGACTGGGATACTTCTTGTTTAAAGGATCCTAGTGTAAAATTGCAATCAAAGCAGTTTTTTTCTTTTGAAAGAATATATAATATGGTGGGGTATGGCTGGGCAAACCTACAAATAAAGGTATGGCGAAGCACTGTTATAACAGATAAGGCATGCTCATGTCTACCTTCTTTGAGTATGGAAGTTGCAACACTTACATTAGGAATGGGGGAGAAGGCTGTCATACAAGGAAGAGTGTGCCTGTGGCTGACTTATTGTTATGGTGACCACATCTAGCAGTTTCTGCTTCTGGAAGAGGCAGACATGCTTTCCTAGTGACCTCCCTATGCTTCAGGGAGACCTCTCTGGGGAGTGACTTAGGCAGCTGAGTCTCAAACAGATTACTGGTGTAAACTACCTCTATTGCTCTATGTAAAGCATCCATCTCATTTAACACAAGAATGAAAATCCAATGGCATCCTTCCACAATACAGGCAAATATTAATGTAGGATTGCAATTTAACTAAATGTCCTACAGTCACTTACCAGTGTAGGAGTACATAAACATACACAACTTTCTTCTATCAATCACTTTAACATCTGAAAGTTAGCAATTCTTGACTAGGCAGAGGGCTAGTCCGATTGTGAAACAAAATGTGTATAATCCTAGGCTTGAGCTGAAGACAAGTAGCTAGTTCAGTTGTAGAAATGGCTATCACTAATCTGAATACTTCCAGGGGCTGTTGTAGCACTACCTTTAATGCAACCCCTTAATCTAAAAGGGGTATGTCCTCCAGGTGTGCATAGCTGTAAAGGAGAGAGGATAAAATGAAACAGCTGTTCTTAATAGACTAAAGATTTTCAGTGTCTGTTTTTAATGTTTTGATCAATTTGTAATTGATACAGATCATTGTGGCTATCAATAACTATCATGGCTGCATTTTTCACTTATGGAGCCTACTGTGAAATAGCTTACTTTATTAGCTAATCTGATAGTGACTGTTAATTTTCTCTACCTGTATATTTTTCAAACTGTAGACAAAATCTTCTGTTTCCAAGAGTCAGTAATGTATAATTTTTTTCTGTGAAACTCTCCTTTAAAGATAACACATTGCTAATAACCAGCTTTCTTTTTGACTTGATACACCCCAACATTTATTTATTGACTGCAACACTATTACCATGAGGAAGGGTGGTATTATGTAGCAATTTCAGAAGGAAGTTGTTATAAAAGGAAACTGTTGCATAATTTTAAACATCTTCCTTACTGACCCACAGCCACTATCCTAAGATGGAAAACACAAGATAGGGCTGTCTGTAACTTCTGGAGGTGCCTTTAAACTCTGCCTGTACCTAGCACATATCCACAGTGCTTGGCTTCTGCCTGCTTGCATGTGATCCTCCCTTTCTCTAACTGAAGAAAGTCCTTAAGGTATATGAGAGGATTTGTGGCACAGACATGAACTGGAACCACAGTATGAGTAAGCAGAACCAGGGAATTGCTGTCTCCCAATCCCACAATAGCACAGTACTGGCCTGAAGTCACTGCTGCTGTAAGCTATGTGGACCCTCTGTAGGAAGCAGCACTTATTGGGAAAGGTACTCCTTTATTAGTAGTAAACATCAATTTCTTATCAAATGTTGCATCCTACTTAAAAGACTACTCTCTATAATTACCTCTAATTAGTTTGATGTATGGAATGTAGCTTATAAGCAACTGGATGAAAACTATAGTGTTTTCTCCACTGCCCCCTTCCACTGTTCATCAAGCTTGGGGTCAGATTCCTAGGCAACAGTGCTACTGTATACTGAAGACTTTCTTATATATTAAAAAAACTCCCAATATTTTTTTAAAAAGCACTTTTTTTGGAAAGACAGAACATAATCTTTCTTAAATAAGGTCTTTTATTAATTAAACTTAGTATGTCTATCTAGTAATGTAGGGCCTTCTGCAGGCAGTTACTATAAAGTGCTTCATACTTGACTAAAAGTCCATTAGATCTGCCACTCTCTTCTCTCCCTTCCCCAGTGAAGATGGGAAAGGGCACACTACATAAGAATGGAAACCAGTTTTTTTCCTTACAGTAAAGGTATTCTTGGAGATAAGAATTGCTGCATGTAGTTATGTACAGAATTCTAATCTACATCTATTAATGGGAACCTTTTAAAATGTTTGCCATATAATACTATCTAAAGCAGTTGGGTAGACTCAACCTTTAACTAAAGTAAGGATAATCAGTTTGTAAAACAGGACATGGATTTTCTAATTTCAAATGATGTAATGTGTATACATTACTCCTCCTTGCTATTTTGTTTGCAGTACATTCTTCATCAGTTTGTATTCTGCAGCTTGTAGGATGACCTTCTACATCCCTCTTCTTCCCCTTCACAAACTTGTTTCTAGGTATGCAGTTAAATGCTACAGCTAGAATCACAGTGGTGACCAACTAGCTTTTAAATGCCCTTCTGACCTAGTTGAAGTGACCAAGATTCAGTGTTTTAGCACAGATTTGTTCCCAGCATAAATATAATTTGTTTTGCCTCTTCCTATTATCCATTTCTGTCCAACAATGTGTTTGGAAATGTAGGCAACTTTACTGCTTGTGCTGAGTATGTGGGGTATTTTCCACATTTGAGTTCTGGGATTAATATTTGGTCCTGGAGTCTATCACAGAACACTAGAGCCATTTTTGAATGTGGAGACCTACTTATAAATTTAGGATGTTGAATTATTTTGCTGGGTCCTAATGCACAAAAACCAAACAGCTCAGCAATCCTAATTCTGGGGCAATCTAAAGTGGTATCTGAAAAATGACACATTGAGGTTCATAGACCTATACATTGCCAAATTGATTCCTCTGATGGGATGGATGGAGCTGAAGCCCCAGCTCTATGCTTGGGGCTTGATGTTTGATACTATTAGATTAGTGGAGATAAGGAATGGCTGATCAAGTCCCTTTTTTTGGGGGGGTGGAGGTGGTTGAAGCTTATCTTGTCAGAGCATCAGTCACTCTGGCTAACAATTACTAAAGCTTTGTGAAGGTTGACTACTATTGGTCCAAGACTCATAGATGCAGTATTGGAAGTGTACCTATCCATCCCTCACATCCTACTACTTGGTGTGGTTAGAAACACTCCTAGAAGAGAGCTGAATCGCAACACTTAAGGTAAACAAGGCTAGAACTTTTCAAGAACTGGACCCTGTAGGAGGGGAGAGGATACTTTGTTTGCCATACAAGGAGGAATTCATAAGATTGCTCTGCCAGCTGGGGATCTAGCTTACCCTTCCTGATCACTCTACTGCTTCACCAGCAAGGATTTGAAAAGGATCAGACTGCTCTGGGAGCATGTTCTTGGAGACTGAAGGAGGTGGAGATGTCAAGCTCAACAGGTAACCTTTAATAGACCTCCAAGTTGACTTGTTTTTTTGGGTAACTTCTGTGAAAGTGATGGAAATTCTAGCTCAGAATTTGGGTGCAGGAGAAATGTGGTTGCTTTAGTCCACTTAAGACTCCCAGTGAGGAAGTATGATGCAATAGCAGCTAGTATGCTAAACATATCCCAGATAAGGGATACATAGTACCAATATTTTGGTAATAGGAAAGAGGAAGAGTGACTTGTCCTTTGTCCAGTTCATATTCAATAAATGCAGGGGATAGCTTAAAATTGTAGGGAAATGATATAATTTATCTATTCTCCCTTAAGCAATTTTCTGTCATTTGTCTATATCCCTTTCCATTACCCATTAAAGTTATTGCTCATCTTCCCGCCTACCAGTTTAACAAATTCTAATTGTTAGACTATGAACTGAACCAAACAGCACAGAAAAAATGTAAATCCCCTTCCCTTTCAAAACCTGAAAGTCCAGATGTGACATTAAGTGTAAATGTAGAATACAGATGGACTGCTTATGCATGTGAATAGTGTTGGCTTGCATCTCTGGGTATCCACTGATGGAGAGGCCATAATTCAAGGGGAAGACTCGATGGAAAGATGTGAGTTGCTGTATTGGGGGAGAATGCGGCAGTAGTGGTGTTGGTATGCAAGGACAAACGACCATGCCTCCAGCATGGCAGCAAGCTTACATGTGGTTGTCCAGCTACTGCTTTTTCTGCTGCCTTATTTCCCTTTTACTCTGGTTTTGGTGCCCTTTTGTCTTTTCCCTCCATCTCTCCTACTCTTCCCTTCCCAATGCTATTTCAAATTCTTGGAAGGACATGCTTGTCCCTGTCTTTCCTCATGTTAACTGTCCTGAGATTTTCCTCCTAGGTTTGTGTTCTCTCTCTCTCTCTCTTTCTTCCCCCCTCCTCCACCCCGTCTGTTTTTTTTCTTTGTTTTTTCTCCTCTTCCTACAAATGATCTGAGACACTGACTACTGGCCACTTATGTCTAAAGTGAGGGTTGTAGAGTGCCAGTGTGAAAAGATGAGTCTCTTTAAATATGTTTGCTAGGGAGTCTGCTGTATATTAGAATTTGGCTTAATCACATCAATATGTGGAATGAGGGAAAACTTCTTTTCCCCAATCCATTAATGGGCTGTGCCTTCTCTGCACAGATTGGAGAGGTAGTCCACGTTTCCATCAAATAGATATGGCCAAACCTTTAGAAATACTTATTACTAACTCCTTCAACTCATACCCATGTATATAATTACAATTTTGACCCATGTAGTTATAGACCTGTCAGCTCAACATTGATCCCAGGTAAGACAATGGAGCAGCTGATATGGGACTCTATCAATAAGGAATTACAGGAGGGTTACATAATTTAATGCAAATCAACATGGGTTTATGGGAAAATAGATCTCTTCCAACTTTTCTTATGAGATTACACTATTACCTTTATCAATACTTATAAATGTAATATACTTAACCTTTAAGGTGTTTGAGTTTGTATGACATGACACTGATTAAAATACTAGAAAGATATAAAGTTAACATGACACCCAGTTTTTAAATCCATTTAATGTATGAGTGGTCTTAATGTAAAACAAATGGGGAATTGTCATCAAGTGAGTGTTTCCAAGATTGATCCTGGGGCCTTGCATTCTAATGGTTTCTAATCAATGATGTGTAAGAAACCACAAAGTATACAAATGACCCACAAAATGGGGCAGTGGTAAATAACAAAAGATCATGGATTCAGAGCAATCTCGATCACTTGGTAAACAGCACAACTGTGCATTAATATGGTTAAATGTATACCTCTAGGAACAAAGAATGTAGGTCATGCTTGCAGGCAGGGGAACTCTATCCTCCACAACCCATGAATCTTTTTCCAGTTTACCATTTCTCAGGAACATCACCTGACCATGAGCTTCCAATGTGATGCTGTGGCCAAAAGAGCTAACATGTTCCTGGGATGCCTAAACAGGTATCTCGAGTAGGAGTAGATAGATGAGTCTACTTTTGGAAGACTGTATCCACTTCTAGTTCCCACAATTCAAGAATGTTGATAAAGTGGAGAGGGTTCAGAGAAGAGGCATGAGAGTGGTTAAAGGATTAGAAAACATACCTTGTGGTGGTGGTGGTCTCTTTCTTTGAGACTAAAGGGTGATTTGACTACAGTTTAAGTATCCACATAAGGAACAAATATTTATTAAGGCACTCTTCAGTCTATCAGAGAAAGGTATAAAATGATCCCATGACTGAAAATTGGAGCGAGACAAATTAAAAATGGAAATAAAGCAAATTTGACAGTGAGGGTAATTAACCACTAGAAAATTTACCAAGGGTCTTGGTGGAGTCTCCCTCACTGCCAATTTTTAAATCAAGATCAGATGTTTTTTCTAGAAGATATTTTCTATGAATTATTTTGGTGACAGTTCTAGGGCCTGTTTCCAACAAGAGGTTGGACAAGATGATCACAGTGGTCCCTTCTGGCCTTGGAATCTGTATTTTGTATGAGTAAAGAATTGTTTGACATATCAGAAAGGATGTGTTAGACTGAGGGAAAAGTTCCATTCTAGAAAGGAAATGATCAGCTAACAAATTTTCCCTTCTGGCTCCTGACTGTGCGTATCTAAGATGGAGAGCACTATGGAAAATAGTGTGAAGAGAGATCAGAGAAATTGCCCACATTTTTCCTGACAGGGACTGTGGAAATAACATTTTCTTTAGAGACTACTAAATAAAACACCTTTCTCCCACAGGAGACCTCTCCAGAGGAGAACAAGCCAATCTTGGGCAACTTAATGACAGTATTAAAAGGACAATATAGACAACTTCTTGATTTCTTTTAAGGTGACTGATGCTCCTTCAGACCAAAGAGCTACATTGGACTGCATTAAATGAACCTTGGAACCTGCACACCCAATACAGTGTATGCATTTCTAACACCATCTTATCCATCTGGCTATGGATAAGTTGTCTTGTTTGAGACATTTTGGATGGAAAAATAAGTGTGCTGATTTTTCTGAAGCAATCCATGTGTTTGAGGTATATCTTCATTGCTCTGGGGACAATGAATAGTGCATCGGAAAACTTTTCCGTCCTGGAACAGTAGACTTGATCAGAAGGGGAAGACTATGGCCTGTGGGATATGGGAAAAAGTACATTTTCCCCCAGTTACCTAAGAATCAGATCTTTGTAAGACTACCTTGTTGTTAAAGATGCAGTAGTGTAGATTAGTGTTATGGACCTCAGAATGATCAAGTTCTGTGACAATCCTAGAACTGTAAGGCACAGAAAGATGTGTGCTGCTTCTAATTTTCTTCACTCTGAAGGGATACTTTATATACAGAGACTTCAAAATTTACCTGTATAAAATTCATAATTTCATTACATAAAAATTAAACAATTGCCATGAGGAAGGCATAGAGAGCTGCAGTTGTCATCA